AAGAACGATATCGCGAATAACCAAAGTATTAACTAGAGATCCTAATCGACTAGAAAAAAACTAAAAACTAAGACGATGTCAATCGAATGTCATAGAAAGTGATAAAATAAGATTCAATTCACATTATAAAAAAAGAATAATAAGAATAATTATTACTGTGGCAAACAAGCGGCTGAAAAATCGAAAAGTTGAAAACTTTGTAAATAGATCGATTGATGAATAAAACACAAATATTATGGTGAGTTTGCATCGAATTTAAATTAAGTTTTGGTGATATACAAATAATCCCGGAGTTATCAGCCAATTTATTTACTTGGTTAAACTGGCTAATAGAGAGCAAATTTCCAATTGGCGGTCCTGTTTTTCTGCGAGAATTAAACGACAAAATTGATGTTTTGCGTGCTCACTTGACCGAAAGTGGGAACTAGACCAAATTGAGTTATTTTATTAAATAACTTATATATTTAAATAAAATGTTCCTCTACATCTTCTCTCTAAACGAATTAGTTGCGAATTCGTAAACTCTTTACAAAACTGGCAAAGTGTCTTTGCATACTGAGGCTTCACAGTGCAAAGGTGCTGACAAGATTGCATCAATAGAAAATAAAAAAATACGGAACGAAGGACAATTAAAATCGCAGAACAGTAATAATAATAATGTACGGGCTTTGAATTCCAACACGACAATTATTCTAACAGTAAACCCAATAACAATATTCAAATGGCGTTCATCTTCCGACACTTCGTGCCGTTTTCGTGATTATATTACTATAATTAAGTTTTTATGGTAATACACGATTAGGAAGGATTTTCCAATAAATTGTGAAAAGCACGATTTTATCGAAATACACGGGTTTGGAAATTATGCCCCAGCGGTCAAGAGGAAATATTTGCTTTTTTTACAGGAAAACTGTTGATGTTGGTTGAAGAAAAATTGAAATCTTTGATAATATTTGAGTGCTCTTAGCAACGAAAGTCCATTTGACGATTCAACTGAATGGCATTCGGATAATGTTAATTGTTGAAACACACAGTGGCATCAAACTCCATTTATTTCGGGCAGATGCCATTTAATCTGAAGAATGCTCTAAGATTGCTTTCGTGGTTTATTATTGGATTCTACAGGCTGGCCGGAGCTGACGGACTTTCTTTCCCTGCCTGTTTTAACAACTGTACCTGTTTGTTTTTATTTACACAACAATCTTGCTGATCTGTATATTATCCTGATTAATTTACATTTAATTAGAGGTTTAGAGAAGTTGAGTAAATATTTAACAGTTAGAATCCGAACAGCTTCAATAGAGCGACTGGAACTATCCGACCGAGCATTTAAAGCAATTGAACGGTTTTTAGAAGTGCAATTTTTTTTCGGTTCTCGTCATTGCAAAACCGTGTTTATCTAGTCACATGTTGCCTGATTATTTCCGTTCATAGTCCAACTAGCCTTGAATCATCAGCATTATCAATTAAACAAAATATTCGAATTCCCATCTACCTAGTAACTGAGAAAGTTTGGGCCAAAGTCTCAGAAAATGGGCATCAAAATCAATGTCTTCTAAGAACATTGGTTTGTTCAGTTTCGCTGCCCAAAAATCTAAAAAAAAAATTATAATGTTCCAACAACTACGCGTTTTCCTCAACATTCAATTCAATTCAAACAAATTGAAAATCAAAAAAGACCATGTTGTCAATGGCAATTCGCCAATTAGTTTTTTTCAGGTTTGTTTATCGCTTTAACAAATGTACAGCGTTCAAAGTCATTGCCAAGGTTAGATAATATTGCATTTGATGGTTTATACATTTTCATTAGTTTGCCATTTATACGGAAAATTGGTATTAGTCATTTTTATGTGTTGTTTCCATCAAGCGAAATTAGACTAGCTGCAGGAACGATTGAAATAAAATTGACGCCTAAAAGAGGCATTTTGGTGCAGGTGTTTTCTTGCAGACCCACTAAATACTTTAATTATAAATGCGTGTAACATAATTGCTTATTAAATCAGACATCACGGAAACATTGATGGACTGTGCCCGCATAAAGTGCATTAAATTAGATAAGGGCATGGTTATTCAATTAACACCCTTTCTTGAAGATTATTCGATTAACTTTATTTAATTAGTATAAATCGATTAAGGAGCACAGTAAACAGACAATGAAAATCCTCAAAACTCAGTTCGTATTTTTTTTAATTCATCAACTCTGATAAATTGTGTAGCAAACTCCCCAAAGAGTGGCATGATTAACTAAGTATATTTTTGGTGGATTCATTTAAAAGAATGTTTCAAAAAGGGAACAGTCAGCTAATGCTCATGGAATTTTTCCAGGTCATTTGCCATCGAAGAGAATAATGCGACTAATTGATAAATTTCAAAGTGTATTGTCACATAATGTTGAAATGAAAGAATTAAGACAAACGGTTGTAGAATGTTAAAATCGCTATTTTTCGGCAATAGTTGCTGATCGTTAACTAAATAATAATTAGATTCGGCGGTTTGGGCTTGCGGTAAAAAAATCAAATTGCAAAGAACTGCGAATAAAAATAGATAATTATAATTATCTGAATGTTGTTCCTTCTTTATTGGAAATTAATCAACAAATTGTACATTCAAGATGTTCTACGATAAGTTATCTTCATGTCAGCATGTGAAAAACTTGATACCATGTACAGTTACAACAAATAACGAATTACACAAATCAATCAAATCTAATAACAATAATCGCAAAGCCATTATCTGGATAAGTTTTGATATTCTCTGTATGGCCAAATAGAAATGGGCCTGAAAGCTTTGTTGATTGGGAAATTTGAGAATATTTTAAAGATTCTTCGGAGGAAATTCAAATGAAATCTATAATAAAAAAGCAAAACTTCCTAGTAAACAACGCGTGTTTTTAAATAGGAATCGAATTAAATAAATTCCAATCCAATCGCATAAAACATCATTCATGTAAATGTAAATATAAACATTGTTTTAATTATATCTGTCTTGATCCTGTTTGACCTCAGCTATTCATTTACTAGAAGAATCGGAGAAAGATGTTTGTTCGGAATGCACAAACCACACAAGTTTACAAATGTAAATTTGCAGCTAAAGTTACCCTAGAGATATTTTCGTTCAGTGATTTGCTTGGGCGGTCGAAATGTCGTTTTGTGTGTTCTCTTTACTTCCTTAATTGAGATTCGAATACAGGATTTTTATTTAAACGACGACTCAAAGCGGCAAATGAAACGGGTTTCTGGAATATTCGGAAGCCGAAAAGATGTTAAAATATATCGAATTGCCTTACTATAAAATGTAACCTGATGCTCTCTTTGGAAGAGTGGAACCGATAGTCTAAAATATTTCCGAAATGGTGGTTTTTCCGTGAGTTTTAGCTTGTTTCTTTAGAATAAGAGTATATTAAGAATATATAAAGAAGTTTCTTTAGAATAAGAATATATAAAGCAATCAAATTTTCACAGTAAAAAATTGAAACCGAGAATTTTTGTAAGAAGAAAAACAGTTTGAAGCAAAAATTGATTAAGTAAGTAATCTGAAAAACGAATAATTTATTCAACTTCGAATGTGCGCACTGCATTAAATACATATATTGCAAATACTTTGTAAATATTTTCAAAATCTAGCCCCTAGTGAAGTTTGGATGATAAATTTTATTAAAATATATCCTTTGTTATAAATAAGTCGTTCAAAAAGCAATTGCAACAAACTTGGTTAAAATATGACAAGAGAAAAATAGACGAAGAAAATATGAGGAACTTCAAAGGACCGTCTATAATAATTCCTGTAAAAACTGCTGGACAAATAAATTAACTAATTTCAATAAATAGCCGCCGAAATTTTTTTGGTTTATTTTTTTTCTTTATCCAACCTACAAAATCAGCAAACTATTGATTTTTCAATTCGTTTTCACTTCGATAATGATGGAAAAATCTAAAAAATATATTTTACTTATTTTCTATTTAGGAACTTGATCGTCAGATCTTAAAAGATTGATTTAAGGGACCCTTCGAAGTTATATTTTCTTCGTCGGCTTTTCTCTTCACATATTTTAACAAAGTGAAACATACATTGTTTTGAATTATTTATTTAGCAGAATTGAAGCCCCACTAGTTACAAGATTTTGAACGTTTAAACAATAACTAATATATTTAATATGGTGTTCACATTCGTAGTTGAATAAATTCTTCGTTTAGAAAATTAATCAAATTTTGCTTCAAATTGTTTTTTTTCTAGAAAAATTCTCCTCTTCAAATTTTTACAACATAAATTTGATTGTTTTGTCAAAAAATTTAATTTTAATAAAACAACTCACGAGAAAATTACTTTTTGGATTGGAAATTAAAATTTTTCGTTATTTCCTACGTAAGTTTGTTATCTGATTATTTTCCTAAAATTAGTCAATTTGTTTGATTCGCCGTTTTGAAAAGAGTGTTTTTAGAGTCCGTTTGAATTTGCTAATATATTTCCCCTCTATACCATATGCATGATCCTGGCAGCTTCCATACAAAATTAGTCACACAAATGAAAAAAACTGGGAAATCCAAACGAACACCAAACAATCGTCTAGGAAATGTTGGGCAAATAAATGAATTAACTTCAATGTGTTGACGAAGTAAATTAATTAACTTCAATGAAATAAATAGATGACAATCTTTGAACGTTAAAAATAACGGACACGAAGAAAAAAAAGTAATTTTAGGTTTTTCAAAAAAACTGTTAGATTGCATTTATACCACTTGCCCACGGTATTATTGATGTAACAATATATTTTGCTAAAAATCGCAAACCAGCGCAAGCTCTTAATGGGTTCCCCACATTTAAACTAGTTGCAAACCTAAAAAATATTAAAAAATCCGCTTAAAATGCAACAAAATTTGGTGTGCACCAATTTCCTAAATGCGTTTTTATATGAAAATAATTTTCTCAAATACAAGAACCTTTGTAAGGAGTGGCCGATGGGGTGTTAATACTGAGAATGCTGCAGTCTAATTTTAATTTACCTTTAGTAATAGATGTAGGGGTGGACTTATGGTAGGGGCCTTTTTCTTTTCTTGATTACATAGACAGGATTTAATCCACGGCATCTCGAAATAAGTCAAAATTTCCAAAGTGTCTTCAACACTGTTCAATCACTTGAGTATATTAATGGGGGGACATTAAAAAAAGTCTGACAAAATGGGACATAAACTGCGAAAAAATCGTGTAACTACTTAAGCCAAAAAGGTAACTTAACACTTGGGACAGCACACTAAATAGCGAAAAAGCGGGGTGGTTAGTAAAGCTGGAGCCGATATGTCTTTCGGTGGTTTTCGTGTTCGCTAAATCATTGTGGTTGGACAGCGACACGTGCGATCCGTGTTTATACTGAGCTCGGCATAGCTTTTTCGCTGTTGAGCTTTCGGTTTCCCGGACGCAACTGAATTGTTTGACATAAAATATCAGCAGCAGGCCGCCAGGCCGGAACTTGGGACGCAGCCTCCTCCGCAGCGCCGCTTTGAGCTTTTGATACACAAGTTGAGGGCGGGAGAGTTCGATGGGCGCAGGCTACCCATACCCATCAATGACCATGCAGCTGTCCATTGTTGTGATCATTTTCTGGTGTTTACATTCTGTCCATTCACCTTGAAACGGATTTTTTATACCGAGGTGCGATCGGCCTAAACACGCTTGACCAACACCGATCACACGTGCTTTGTTGAAATTGAGGCCTAATCGGAAGGTTCGGAAATTGATTTTCTTGCAATCGATAGCTTCAACTTTCGTCTATTCACATGTTTTGCTCGATTTTCGGCTATATCTGCGAGAAATGCCATCAGATGCACCTTAGTGGTGACCGAGACAAACGCCTTGCAAAAAAGCAAGATTAAGTCCATGTCCAAGACCAAGACTGTCTTTTGGTTGGCAAGACCAAATGTTGGTAGTATTTTAAACGCTTTACTTTAAATAGTTCATTGTCAATTGGGCTACAATATTTATCAAGTATTATATACGTAGTTGTTCTAACTTCCTTATAATGATAGGACGGGTTGACGAAATTAACACATACAGGGGTATTCACGCTATACGGCACGGACGTTTGCGGCTAGCCCGTTTGTTTTTTGCAAAGTATTATTTGATGAATCCACAGACGCCTATCGGTTGCACATTTTAAAAATATTTTTGTAATGTACAGAGTGTCCCAAAAGCCCTAAAAGTATCAAAGTTGTGTTTTTCTAAATGAAATACCCTATATAT